AGTAAGCATCTGCATTTAGTCATTCTTGCTAGTCCTTTTTTTTTGTCTTTTTACAATGGAATGCTATATTGTCTTGCAACATCAGAACCATATGATTAGAAGAATTTATAAGATTTGCTTCTGATGTCTCATATGTTACAGATCTGTGAAAGAACTGCAGATAACTACCAAAACAGATGTTTTTGCATTTGGAGTAGTTCTTGCAGAACTAATTACTGGCAAACGTGCACTCATTCGTGAAAATGGAGATCCAAACAAGATGAAATCACTTATCTCTATTGTAAGTCAACTATTTAGCAGGGATATATTAAGGAATGAAACACAACCACATGAATGACCATCCGAAAGAAATGACTCTATTTTAGAACATGACTTGAAATACTAAAAAATGCTTATACGAAAGAAGAACCTAAAATGAAGAATAAGTGAGATGTATGCATTTCTTAGAGCATGGATGTCAGGAGATCACTTTCTTGATTGTTAAAGCTTAAATTTATATACATTATATGTAGTCTTCCATTAACCAAAAAAGGTGTCAACTGAATGGTCAGATTCACGAAATTTTCCAAGACGAGGATCCGGACTCAGCATTAGAGTCTTCTATAGATGAAAATCTCAAGGGATGCTACCCCATGGAAGATGTATACAAGGTTGGAAATCTAAAAAATCTTGATGTCCAAGTCTCTAATTCTTCTACTTCTATTTTGATTGCCAGTAGACTATGCATCTAGAGCTGATATTTTCTCATTACACTACAGATGGCCGAAATTGCAGAGTGGTGTCTAAGTGAAAATGCAATTAACAGACCAGAAATGCGGGAGGTGGTTGTTTCATTATCTCAAATCAGGATCTCATCCACAGAGTGGGAGGCATCATTAGGAGGCGATAGCTTGGTTTTTAGTGGAGTCTTTAATGGGAGATGAAATGCATTTCAAGAAGTGAAACTCTTAATTTTAAAATAGAGTGCAAATCTTACTACTTCCAGTAGTCAATGTTCTACTAATTGATGGACTTATTTTCTTTTTCCAGTCTTGTAAAGCTAAAGAATGTTTTGGTAAACATGAATATAAATACAACATTTTGATTTCTACTTGGCTTCAGAGTAATCCTCCGAAATTAAAGTTGTTTATTGACCAAATATGTACAGGCATAAAAAATTAGGATAACTGTGTGTCATCCTCAACAGAGAATTTTAAAGTCTGGACTATTCTGTTATGCAGAATAAAACCAATACTTGATGTTAAGACTTAATATGCTAACAAGTGCCTCAGCTACTGAAAGCTTACATGGGTGAGTTACTCATTGAAGAATATCTTAAGCTCAACCAAATTTCTCTGATTAGACTGTTCTAAGCACTCATTAACTCGATTAGAAATCAAATTTGAGTGATCAATCCCTACAACTACCTAAAGTAATAGTCACAAGGACAGTAACAAAGTATTATCATACAGATTACTGCTTGGAATCCTGCACCTGGCGGACAGATTCCTTCTGTAAAGAGAAATGTAAGTTATGATCTTCCAATTACTGGAGAGGATTTTTGATCCTGAAGGGAGATTATAGTTTCAAAAGCACCCACCAGAGCCTTGACCTTGCTTCTCCTAGTCTTGGCAAGCTTGCTTGCAGTAACTTCAATCACGTTGTTGAACAAACTTGGAGTTTCTTTTGAATCCTCTATACAATTGGATCGAAGATTTACCGTCACAACTTCGTCTTTCGCAGCATATGAATGGCCATCATCAGTGGATTTTCTCAAGCCTTTTCCTATTAGATTACCATTTTCATTTTCGCCCTTATCTTTTATGGTGACTTGCCTCAACTTTTGTTTCCGCGGACTGTCATTCTCAGATTGGATATCAATTGTCTTCCCTTTTTTGAACTTGAGCAGTTTAGGACTGCAATCTTCATTTTCTAAGCCAATTTGTCCAGCTTTCCGAGGTTTTGTGCCTTGCTTCTGAGTTGTAGTTCCATTTTGACTGGTGCTAGAGCTTGTTTCATCACAGTGAGCAGACTCATTTGCTGAGTTTGATGATGGTGACATCAATGAACATGAGGAAACGGACGACTGGGTAGTGGTGTCAATATTTCTTGAGTTACTACCACCTAAAGATGGTGAAAATGATGGGGAACAAAGGGATGATGAAGCTGTCTTTCCTCGTTTTGGACCATCTCTATGCAAAGAGGATTCTTTGGCCTTACTATTTTCCTGGGAAATACCTATAGTGTTGCTTTTAGTCTTTGATTCTCTAAGATGCGACGTCTTCTTTGTCACATTTTCATGACTGATTTTCCCAGTCTTGCTTGGTGCAAGATTAGTCCTACTGTTAAGTTGAGAAGCCTTTCTGGGAGAGTTGTTACTGGATGTTGTGCTCGATACTTTTTTCACAGAAGATTTTGGAGACAATGAAACAGTTGAGGTAACAACACTCTTTTTCTTGCTTAGCTCTGAGGACCCACCGTCGTTCTCCATTTTACAGCTGTGGTTTTGTCTACTGCTAGATCCATTCGATAGAGACTCTTGAACTTTCGAAGAACTCCCAGGTATAAAGTTGTCACTGTATCTTCTTTGATGCCTTCTTGATGCATTTTCTTCCAAAGGCTTAAGCTTGGAGTCACTTTGTTGATTTACAGAAGGCACTACTCTTTTGGTGGACGATTGCATTTCCTGTCCATTGACTTGGCAAGTTGTCTGGCTCTTGATCTCTGAAGGTAGTTTAGTTGAGCCTGGTACTTTCTTCCTTTCTGGGATTTTCCCTAATGTTGCTCTTGAGGGCCGAGGAATCTTTGCCTTTGTTGGAGAATCATGTTCATAACCATGTTTGCACATATCATGGCATGAACTTCTTGGAACGTCAAGATAACGTGACAAGACCTTGTATCCTCCCATTTCAAAGCCTACACTTCCAGTTGAATTCCTTCTTAGACGATTTATTATAGGCTCGATTTTCTCCAGGTTTTCAGGTATTCCATCAGCCATTGTAAGAGAAGGAAATGAAATAGCAAACCAACACCCCTGCAGATATGTTCAGCATGATATAGAGGGGTTTAGAGTAAGCAACTAAAAATCTTTGTGAATATTTTCTGTTACTTCCCAAACTTCTAAACAAGAGTACTCACCGGGCCCTGAAAGCAAGAAGTACCAGAGTGCTTTTTGAACCGTCAACTTCACACGTTTGGCGTCCTAAATAGATAGAAACAAGGACATGTTAACTGGTGAAGATCAGGTGGGGATGCTTTTTCATCCATGGCTTGTGTGACTAAACTCAACATTCTGTCATAAAATGCAGATAACAACAAAAGGAGAATTACATACATTTAGTTCCCTCTATATTCATAACCTACAGCTGCTAACATGAACTAGAGCAGCTAGAAAGCTAAAAAGCGATATGCTATCACTTATTTCATAACAGTTGGAGGGAAAAAAAGGATAAAACGACAACAATAAAATGTTCTTTTCAGAAGCTTTCGGTTACTGCTTTCATCTGTCCATTCCACCAACTTGAACTCGAACTTGAACTCTTATCATCTAATTAATCCTAATAGATTAGTACAAATTCTTATCTCCCAATCAACAATAAACAGAAAAATCCTAATGCTCAAATTTGGCTATATCACTAACATCATAGAGGCTGAGAACATAAACTCTAGCACAGATGTTTTGGTCATATTAAATTAATGAACATCTCCATTTCTTGACACCAAATATATAATCTTGCTTGTTCAGGCGAGATTTCCAGACCTCACTTTGTGGAATTACATTGTTTTGTTCAGGTGAGATTACACCATATATTTGATATTCCCTATTATATATCAGCAGCATTATTATATTAGAAAATTTAATCAACATCTCCATTTTCAATGTGCTAGATGAACAATCTTATATTCCAAGAATTTAGATCTCCTAATTTGAGGTACTCTTCTTCAACAAACTTCTAAAATCAGATTATGTTAAAAGAAAGAATGAATTTGGCTATAAACAAATCATACCATTGAGGCTTTCAGAAAAGAAACAAGAAGTACTACTACCAACAATAGAAACAAGAAGTTTTGATCATCAAGAAGAAAACTCAATTCTAAAAATAAGAATCAAGAAACTTTTAACTACCACATAAAGAAAAAAAAATGTTAAGAAGAAAAAATGTTTTGTTGAAATTATACCTTTTACTTTGATGCAAGGAAGAGGGACCCAAACAATTGGTTAAAATTTGTTTTGTGGGAAAGAAGGGAATAAGAAAGAAGCTTTGATCTTATTGGTAGAATTGACAAATTTATGTGAGAACAAGCGTAATTGTAGCAAAGATAAATCTTCACAAAAAAATTACAATAAGCATAGAAAGTAAAAATAAAAAATTGTCTTAATTAATTCGTGCGTAAGGTAAAGTTATAGTAATTGTATATTTAGTTCATATAAAAACCGTTTTGAGTTTTGCATTCAATATCATAGTTGGTTTGATGATCAGAACATTTGAAACTGAACCAAGTGATTAACAAATATGTATATATGTGGAAATATATTTATTTGTACCCGATGTTTCAATCGAAATAAATTAACCTAAAGAGAGATATGAACTAAAAAGAGAATACATATCATTTAATTTGATTTAAGAAAGTTCTTAGGATTCACTCAAAAGACTAGACTAGAATGCCTGAAACCATAAACTAATAAATTATTCTTTATGGCCATCAATTGACCATAAACTCATTAGATTGTGTATATTATTTGAATTTAATGTCATAAATTCTAGCCATTTTAGTAAATACTTATTGTTTCCTTATGCAAACTTTCAACGTGAATATAAATACAAAAAAAAAATGGTTTCAAGAAGAACTAGGGGTTTGTTGTGAAACTCAGAAAAAGAAAAAGTTGTTCATTCCAAACTAATGTCAAGTTACCAACTATGAACAAAAGGGTGGTTGTCTCTACCATTGGTAACTTGAATATGAACACTTCCATTGGAGTAATTGAAGTATTCTATATGCATTCTTGGCTAAATATATGTACATAATATCTCCAACAGTACTAAAAAAAAGGGGAAGAAAAGCCTAGCAGTCAACTTCCTGTACTATAAATACATTAGTCCAGAAATATACTCTCCATTAAATTACTCAGCAGCTAAGAAAAGAGGAGACACATAAGACTTAGCTCTCCGAGTCCTTTGCTGCTTTTTTGTCACCCCCCAGCCTTTCAAAAATATGTCTGTGATCCCGTGTTTGTTATCCAAAGTATGCTGCAGTAGGAGTGAGCACATTGTTCTCTCTCCATCATTGGACCGTCTCCTACCTCTGGAACTCGTCCTACTCGGAGTTTTTTTCCATGGACTGGGTTTTGAAGCAACATTTGTTTCATTTACTTGATGCAAAAGGGATTCCACTGCAGGTAAGACATCTGCTTGAAGGTCCTTCTGATCCTTTGTCCTCCTTGCTTGACCCCTCCTTGGCTGATTACACACAATGCCTTTTTCCTTCTTTTTTGCAACCTTCAAGTAACTAAGACTATTATCCATGTGCCCCTTTCTCAGATTAAGCTTCATCCGACTTGAAGCAGTCCTTTCTGAAAGAAGTACATCGCGCCCGAAATGGACTTCCATGGATTGTTCAACTTCATTCTCTTGACTACTTGCCAAAGAAGTAGCAACTTCAGCAAGCCCGCGTAGACAGTTGCTGGAAGTTTCAGATGGTTCACCAATGGCATTCTTTGAGTACCTGTGGACCACAGATGATGAAATAAAAATAAGTATATCAGCTGCAACCGTGTCAGGTTCATCGATTGGATCATCATGGCCTCTTCTTGGCAAATTGATTGATGTTCTGATATTAATGTCCTGGGAATCTCCTCTAGGTGGAGAGCACTCCTTATTTTCTGGGCTAACAGGACCTTTTAGATCTCTTTCTGCAGTAGACTTTGCTGCTTCACTTGGACCTTTTAGATCTTCTTTGATGCAAGAGTTTAAGTCGATGCAAATATTAGCTGTTGAAAGCTTGCTATCAATTCTAGAACCTACAAGGTGAATTTCCCTGGTGCATTTTCTATATTCAGCTGTTGAATTAGGAACCATGTTACTGTCAGGAACCTCAGAATTTTTATGTATCTCTACATTTCTGCCTTCAGGGAAATTAAGATGGGAAATGTCGAAGGAGGGTGCAGACTGGCAGTCAGACAAACAGGTAGAAGGTGTCAAATTCAAGTCCATGCCGTTCCCAGAACTTGTGTAGTCTGAAAACTTGTGGTCTTTTACAGAAGCAATGTGTTCACCTGTACTATCACTTGCATCATGCTGCATAAAGCAAGAAGTCAAACTTCCAGAAGTTGGAGTGGACGCAGGACCTAGGTCCATATTTAACTTCTTTACAGTGAGACTAGAATTCCTAATAGAGGACTCAGTACTCTTGCTGAATGATGCATCAGTATTAAAGCATGAAAGTGCTGCAACAGGAATCTGCTTAAATTCTCTCCAAGAGGAAATCACCAGTGATTTGTCAGTTGTGGTTTCAGCATGAATCTTGTCTACATTTTCTAAGGGCAACGATGCTGGTTGATTACATGGAAGAAGTGCTCTACCAACAGAAGAAACTTCATCAAACGACTTCAAGTTGCTTTCATCTCTCCCTGAAAGTGCATATAATAAAAATTGTGAAACTTCATGCTATAAATAGCTTTTAGATAGAAAGGCTGTAATCCTATGGAGAAGCCAGTCATTAGGAAATGACTGATGCAACATAAGAAATAAAATCATGAATTGTGCAAGAACAATAAAAGGAAAAGAGCATGATGGCATCTTCAGAATTATGATCAGAATCTTTTCTCAAGGGAAATTCAGGATACCTTCTTTATTCAGAGTTGAGCATTCTGCACGTGCCATACCGGATAAATCCAGATCTCTGTCCCTAATTTCCTCGTGAATGTTATTCGATTCAAATGCCGAATTTGGACAATCTGACTCAAAAGGCTGTACAGGTTCATTCAGGTCAAACAAAAGAAAGGTACCCCTACAACTTGAGGGAGAACTGGAAGATTTTCCAGAGGCAACAAGGTTGACTTTCAAAGAACATTGAGGTTGAAGTTCTGAGATCAAAATATTTGTCTTTTTAGCTGCAGGATTTTCTTCCTCAAATTGCTCCCTGTATTCATTATTAATGCCTTTTTCTGCTGGAAGTTCAAGGTCCAACATTCTCTTCCTTGACGTGTCGTCCTTCAATGATGATGGCTTGCATTCGTTTAAAATGTTTTGACCTGAAAGACAGTCACCTCCTGGTTGCACAGTCTTACCAGCACCAGAACTAAAGGGATCTTGAAACATTTCTTTACTTGGTGCATATGGTTCAATGCTCGTGAGATTTACTGAGTGCCTAAAGGTTTTCTCAGAAATGTCAGACCTAAACAGAGACACAAAAGTATTTGCCTTTGATGCTTGCAAGTGTATATGATCTTCTACTAGTTCTCTCTTTTTCATCTCATCCATTAATTCCCTTTGTCTTCCATATAAGCGATGCAGTTCATTGACCTGAAAGAAAACACAATTCAACTTCTGCTCCATCATGATCAATTAAGTGAATCACCAAGTGATGAAGCACTCCCAAGGTCACCATTGCTCAAGACCAAAACTGATCAAATACACTACATTCTTCAAAAGAAAGGATGAAATGAAATGGAGAAAGAAAAAGAAAACAAAATGCTCAAGAGAGAATATATAGGTAGAAGAAGCGCCAAATCTAGTAGCATTTATGAAAGGTTTACTGTAATCCACAACAAAGAGCAAGTTATAAATTAATAATTCAGGATAGTTAATTCCAGAAACATGAAAGGATATATAAGTGCAATTCATTTACATGAAACAAACTGAAGACTTGGTTGAATATTTCGTCAAGATGGCAATAATCTGTTTCAAAGGCTAGCCAAAGGTAAGACCATGTATATACCTGATATCTAAATGTTGCATCGTGTTTGAGTATTGTCTGTCTCAATATTTTTTTCTGATAAACTACATCCTGGCTCTCGTCTACCATAAACGGAGGAAATGCAAGATGTAAGCCTCTACTACTGTTGCAGGCGATATCACTGTGGGGTATTGACTGTGAATTACCCGTAAGGCTGACAACATTATCTCTTGGGTAGTAATATCCTGGACAATAATTAGTGCACTGCATTTTCACCTCCTCCCTGGGACAGAACACGACAAAGAGTTAGAATGTGCTGCTCTTTGACCCCTGCCTATGACCCAATATAACATATAATGTAAACATGCATATAAAACTGGATTATTCCTCAATATCTTACAGTAAAATTTCCATCATCAGGCAATGCCCTTACTTTTTCAAGGAACGGGAAGACTAAAAGAAGATACTGTGATATTGTCTGCTTTAGGTTAACTGCGCACGATTTTCCTCAAAAGGCCTCACACAAGGAACGGGAAGACTTTGTACTGCCAACAGCTACTAATTAACCGAATTCGTTAGCATTTTCAAAATTTTGTTTGTTTCGTAAAACTATCTCATTAACTCCTTTGCCGCAATGCGAACGACTCTGAATTAGGTAGATTAGTCATATAAAACTGGATTATCCCTCAACTTCAATATCTTACAGTAAAATTTCCATCAGGCAATGCCCTTACTTTTTCAAGGAACGGGAAGACTAAAAGAAGATAATGTGATATTGTCCGCTTTAGGTTAACTGCGCACGATTTTTCTCAAAAGGCCTCACACAAGGAACGAGAAGACTTTGTACTGCCAACAGCTAATAATTAACCGAATTCGTTAGCATTTTCAAAATTTTGTTTGTTTCGTAAAACTATCTCATTAACTCCTTTGTCGTGATGCGAACAACTATGAATTAGGTAGATTAGCCATATAAAACAGGATTATTCCTCAACTTCAATATCTAACAGTAAAATTTCCATCAGGCCATCCCTAACTTTTTCAAGGAACGGGAAGACTAAATGAAGATACTGTGATATTGTCCGCATTAGGTTAACCGCACACGATTTTTCTCAAAAGGCCTCACACAAGGAACAGGAAGACTAATCTACCTAATTCAGAGTCATTCGCATCACGACAAAGGTGTTAATGAGATAGTTCTACGAAACAAACAAAATTTTAAAAATGCTAACAAATTTGGTTAATTATTAGCTGTTGACAGTACAAAGTCACACATCCACTCATCCAACAACCAATAAGAGGAAGAAGAACTTCTTTGGAGTCACAGTCAACACAAGGTGAACCAATCTGACTTTTGAGTTAGATTTCAAAAACTCAGAAACAAACATACGTCACCAGTCATACAGATAAATAGATGGAACAGGAAGATTGTCCGCTTTAGGTTAACTGCGCACGATTTTTCTCTAAAGGCCTCGCACAAGGAACTGGAAGACTAATCTACCTAATTAAGAGTATTCGCATCACGACAAAGGAGCTAATGAGATAGTTCTACCAAACAAACAAAATTTTGAAAATGCTAATTCGGTTAATTATTAACCGTTGGCAATACAAAGTCACACATCCACTCATCCAACAACCAATTAGAGGAAGACGAACTTCTTTGGGGTCACAGTCAACACAAGGTGAACCAATCTGACTTTTGAGTTAGATTTCAAAAACTCAGAAACAAACATACATCACCAGTCATACAGATAAAGAAATGGAAAATCAAAGCACTTAAAACAAAAGATTCTGAACAAAACCACTAAAGGTAAAAAAATCACAATGCACAGATCCAACAGAAAGAATCAACAGTCAAACACAAAGAGCACAGATAAAAAACACCCAAACACCAACATCCCAACACAGCAAAAATACACAAACAAAGATGCAATTAACAGCTTGAAAAAGAAAAGAAAAACAACAAGAGAAATCCACCAAGATTATCATCAAAGGTCAGAATTTCAAGAAATTACCAAAGACCCAAGTTTTAAAATGCAACCGCTTGGGGAAAAAAACAAATCCCAGCAAGAGAAATCCACCAGATTATCATCAAAGGTCAGAATTTCAAGAAATTAGCAAAGACCCAAGTTTTTAAAATGCAACCGCTTAGGAAAAAAACAAACCCCAGCAAGAGAAATCCACCAAGATTATCATCAAAGTGCAGACTTTCAAGAAACTACCAAACACCCAAGTCTTGAAAATGCAACAGGTTGGGAAAAAAAAAACCCCAGTAAAATATATCTCTCATTCAAGATTACCTCTAGCTCTAGCTCCTTGCTAGCACGAAAAGAATCCAAGAAAACCCATCAGAGTAGAAGAAACTCAGAGAGAAAGTGAAACTTTACAGAAAATGGTGTGGAGAAAAAGATGCTTGTTAGATGGTACAATGTCTTAGGGAAAATGCGGAAAGAATGGAGCCTTTCGGATCTGCTGGGACCACTCTGTATGTACAAAGGAAGATGGAAAGAGAGAGAGAAGAATAATTAGTACTCTAGTAACTGACATGGGAAGAGAGAGGCATAGAATTTGTCAAGACATTGGATCTATCTTCCCCAATTATATCTATTCTTGGATTTTTCTTGGTGATCAACTGTATGAAAAAATGGATCAACTTTTTAGATTCTCACCCCTATCCGTGTCCTCTTTCCATTCATAAATACTGTTTAATTTTTTTTTAAAATATTGAAAACACTTTTAAATTTGACGTAAATTATTAATTTCGTTTTTAAATTATTGATTGCCATAAAAATATTATTTTCTTTAACTAATTTAAATAGATATAAGCCCAATATACAACACGACACAGCAAATGGTCTCAAATTCTTGTAAGATTATGGACTCTTACACTCTGTTTGGATCATTGTTCCCCATTGTATTGTATTGTATCGTTACCATACCTACAGTGTTTGTTTTGATTGTTACTTAAAATGTATTATATTGTATTGTTAAATTTAGTTATTATATAACAATGAAAACCCCTATTTTATGAAACAACCGATTGTGTGTGTTTCCATTGTTACTTAATTTCTTTTTTCAATTATATCCCTACATAATATTTCATATTACTATTTTACCCTTTGCCCTATATTATTTAATTTTAGTCAAACCTCACACCCTAGAATAATTAAGGATATTTTAATAAATTTATAAATTACAATACAGTACGATATAGTCAAACAAAATAATAAAAATGTTATTAAACAATACAATTTAGCCAAACATTGTATCTACTATACAATACAGTACAATAAAGTACAATAAAATACAATACATTATGAAACAATGAGTAACAATGATTCAAACAGAGTGTTAATAAAAATTCCAAAAAAGTGTTGAAGACACCCATAAACTTCGGCGAGAATTTAAGGGTGTATTTCACTAATGTTGTATGATTGGAGGTGTATTTAAGTTCAATTAGTCAAGTAATGAGTGTTTATAAGGTTGTCAAATGTTCGGAGACGGAACTAATAATTTGGGTCAAGTTTAAAGTTGTTTTCGATACTTGTCACATATTTTTAAGTTGATTGATATTGATTTGAAAAATATTTTAGTAAATAATAATAAGATATTATTTTTAAAATATAATAAATTTAATGTATGAAGCAATAAATATTTATTTCTTATCTGGGTTGTCATAATGATTGGTTGATTTTCTTGTTAAATTAGTTCCCCTTAAAACATATTTTTTTATTCAAGATTCGAATAATTAATCATCGACAAGAAAGTGGTTGTAAATGGAAGGATTTAATGTTGGTTTATCCCAATATTTTAAATGACTAAAATAGTACAATTATACTATTACATGTTCAAAATTCAGAGATAGAGAGAGAAACGTTAAATTGTATGCAACCATATAAATGAACTACCTTATAAATCCCCAATATGGATAATCAATTTGGCTTAATTACGTTATGATAATTTATTCATGTACATTATCATGAGAAATTAGGAACCAAAAAATAATTAAGGGAACGTTGGTGGTGGTGCTAATGGTAAAGTGCAAGGCATAACGCGTTAGGATTGACATGATATGGAAGTAGTTTTCGCTTTATATCAAAGAAAATATTTATTCGTTTCAATTTGTTTATCTTATTTTGATTTATACACGTAGTTTAAGAAAATAAAGAACTTTTGAATTTTGTAATTTTAAATTAGATATGTCTATCAAAATTGTCTTTAATCTTGTGGTTTAAAACGTGTTATGTGAAAAGTTGAAATTAAATAATTATCAAAAAGGAAAAAAAACATTCTTTTTTAAAATGGATTAAAAAGAAAATAGGACAACCAAATTAAAACTGGAGCGAATAATAAAATAGGGAGTATATTATTGAAATATAATGTGATTGTTCACCCATGTGGATTAGTCGGTGGATGAGTTAGTTATCCACGTGGTTAGTTAGTTACTAATGTTGTGACTGATTTGTCGGTTGTTGTTTGCTAGGATACGGTTAACTGACAGTTTAGTGGATTAGATATTTTGTATCAATTACACGCCTCTGTAAATAGAGGAGATGATGTACAGACAAAGTGACGGTTGAAGATATTTTCAATACATAAATTTTATTTTCTGCTTCGTTCTTGTATGATTTTCTATGTTTCAAACTCTCCATTAATAGAGGTTTTAGCTTCATAACTCACTTTCTAACATGGTATCAGAGCCAACGACATTGAATGTGCTAGAATTTTGTTTAATTTTTTTATTCGTACATTAAATTGTTGAGATTCCACACATGGTGACAACGAAGATCGATTATAGTCATCCTTGTTTCAAAGGTCCCTCAGATACTTCAATTTTTGTGATTATCAAACTCGCTGAATCTGATAAATTTTGGAATATGGAGCAAATCTATGAGGATTGTACTTCTGGAAAAAAGGAATTTTGAATTCATGATAGGTGCATGTTCGAAGGAATTGTACAAAGAAGAATATTTAGAGAAGTAAGAGACGTGCAATACCATTATTCTCTCATGACTGATGAGCATAATTGCTAAGGAACTTCTCTGATGGATCGTTTATGCTATAAGTGCTCACAAGGTATAGGAAAACTTAAATGAACAATTGGACAAGGTCGATCGAATTAGGATTTATCAATTACATAGAGAGATCATGACTCTCTCTCTCTCTATCAAAAGGTATTGATTATGTCTCAGTTTATTTTAGCATATTGAAAAGAACTCTAGAATGAGTATTGTAACATCTCAAATTCGAGAAAACAGAAAAAATACAGCTTTCCAGGATCTGGTGTTAGAACCAACGGAAGCCACTGATGGACTGTAGGTAGAACCATGGACCGTAAGTGGGGTCCCGTGGTTCAATCCTAGACTTAGGGGATTTCAGGATCCATACATGAGACCTATAGTCATGGGTCACGGACCGTAGGTGAGGTCCATCGTTGGGGTCAAAATTCTGAGAGTATCTGATCCCACCCACGGTCGATCAGTACGGTCTGTGGTTGGACCTACAGACCGTAGGTGAGGGTCAATAATTATTCAGAGGAAAATAGTTGTTAGGTCAACTTCAAACGGTTATATTTTTTAGCACATAATGAATTAGATAGCCCATGACCTATCAAATTAAAGATAATTGAATCATCTTTTCAACGTCAACGAGTTTGCTAAAATCCAAGATCGGAGTAAAAAGTTATGCTCGTTTAGTGAAGCCCTATCGGGCAGAACATGAACGACGGTCAGTAGTCCAAATGACGGAACGTCGTTCCCTCCGTGGATGGGATTCGTCAGCATTTAAGTCAGGGTCGTTTTGGACTTTTCTTATGCGTTGGGGCATTTAAACTACGTCGTTTGATGACTAAACTACATCATTTTACTTAGAATAAGTCTAATAACCTAGTCAGACATACCCAGAACCCTTATTCTCCAAAAATCATCCAAATTAGAACAAAAAGATGAGAAAGAGGCGTTAATTTCTCTCAAGAGCAAGAATCAGTGTTCTTCAAGGTTCAGCCCCGAAATCCAAAGGATTTCTCTGTGAATTTCATCACCAGGTATGTGGGATTTCACTAGTGGGTTCCTTTTACCCATTAGGTCCCTAGAATTCAGTCAGTTCTTCAGATTCTCATAAACTGTTCAAACCTAGGGTTTCTAAATTTTCAAGATTTATTGTGATTATGTCCCTTGATCTAAATGAATTATTTCTTGATAATTTAGTATAATTCTCTTAGTTCATGAATTACACTTGCTAGGTCAGTTAAACAGATAATCATGCTTCAGATTTCGAATGTCACTTTAGAGCTATTAAGTATTTCAGTTACATTTCAGTCATATACATATTCAGTTGGGAGTAGACTTAGCACCGAGTTAGACTAGGGTTCAGCGTAACCTCATAGTCCCAGAACTACGTGCCCCCGTAGAATTATAAGTCACATATGTTGAGCATCAGCTTTAGTGATCACGCCACATTCATGTCTTTATACCCCTGACAAGGTATATTGGGTCCTCTCGATCATGGGCGGACCCACGTGTTGCCCAGGGGGTTCACCCGAACCCCCTCAAAAAAAAATTACACTGTATATATAAGGTGAATTTTCTGGATTTATGTGGATATATATATTTTGAACCCCCTCAATGACAAGGTGAAGGAGATAGCCCAGTGGCAGCTCCCTTCAAAGTTAAGCCTGACTTCCAGGGATCGAATCCCTGGGTTAGAGTTTTATTTTTTAGTTTTTTACTTTCATTTTTTTTTGTTCCAGTTCCGATTTTAATGTTTTTTTTAATAAAACGCTAAAATGTGGTGTTAAACCCAAAAAATTCAAGGGTCCCAACACCCATACTCCCATAATCCTATTCTTAAAAGCTAATAACTTTTTCACTTTTCAAATCCCTATTGTTCTTCCCCAACTCAAAACTCATATATTAAAATCATCTCCCATAATATTCTATTGTTGATTGTTTCATACTTGATACTTCATGCTTGAATCTCACATTCAATTCGAAATGAAAAATCAAAACTCATGCTTATTGCTTAAAAGGTAAAAGTTTTTTTCTCTTCTTCTTCTTTTCTTTCAATTTTCAAAAAATTAAATGGGTCTTTATTTTTTAAGGTTGTAGACTTGTAGTATCTCTGATTATCTGAAGTGGAGGCTCAAAGCAAAAATTAAAAGGGCTGATTGTTTGTCTTTTCTCCAAGGTAAGCTTTTCTCTCAATTTTCTTGAAAAGTTCATCTTTCTTGATTGAATATTGATTATCTTCATTTTAAATTGTGAAATTTTTTTGATTGTTTTTTCTATTCTTTCTTTGATAGTCGTAACTAGATTGATGAACCATTTTAATTTTGATGGTAATATCTAATGTAATTTGTAAAAAGTTATCTTTAATGCATTTAACAATTAACTATTTTGTATAGATTCATAGTCAATGGAGAAGTACTTTTTTAAAGTATCAAATTCAAGTTCTATTACTCAGAATCAACCTAACCGGGAAGAAAATGCTAACTATTTAGAAGTACCATCACACTCTTCTCAAGAATTTGATTTAAGTTCTTTAAAGGCTGATCCAGGTGAAGAACTCAAATCTTGGAATTTCATCCAAATCACCGTGACTCTATTAGAAGAGCTTATCTCCAAAAAAACCTTGTCAACCTCTATTAAGAGAGTTTCCACAAACAAACATTTTTGGAGATGTGCGTCGTTTTTATCATAAATGGTTTGATGAATTTCCTGATTGGTTAGAGTATAGTATAAGTAAAGATGCAGCCTTTTGTTTGTACTGTTATTTATTCAAGCAAAATAACAATCTTCAAGGCGGAGGTGAAACATTTTTGAGTGTGGGGTTTAGAAGTTGGCATAAAAAAGCTAGTTTGCAAACACATGTTGGTGGGCATACTAGCATTCGCAATCAGTCAAAAATAAAATGTGAAGATCTAATGCGACAACAACAATCCATACATGCTTCATTTGAGAAACAATTTAATCAAGATAAGCACGGGTATCAGATCCGCTTAGCAGCTTCAATTGATGTAGTAAGACTTCTTGTGAAACAAGGCTTGGCATTTCGAGGTCATTATGAATCTAAATTATCACTTAACAGAGGTAATTTTCTTGCGATTCTTTCATTTTATGCCCAAAAGTGTGATGAAGTTCGTAAGTTTGTATTGGAAAATGCTCTTCAAAATGACCAAATGACTTGTCCAAAAATTCAAAAAGATATTGTAATTGCTTGCAAGATTGAAACAATTAAGGGCATCATAAAGGAACTAAATGGTGATTATTTTTCCTTATTGGTTGATGAATCTTTTGATGTTTCACGCAAGGAGCAAATGGCGGTTGTTTTACGATATGTTGATAGAAGAGGATTTGTGATGGAGAGACTTCTTGACATTGTTCATGTTAAAAATACTAGTGCTTTATCTCTAAAAGAAGCAATTGTCAATTTACTTTCTCAACATTCCTTGAGTCTATCTTATGTGCGTGGACCATGCTATGATGGAGCAAGTAATATGCAAGGTGATATCAATGGCTTTAAGATGTTGATTAAGAAAGAAAGTAGATCGGCTTATTCCATACATTGTTTTGCTCATCAACTTCAATTAACTCTTGTTGGTGTTTCTAAGAGATGTCTTCAAGTTGGAGAATTTGTTCATTTGGTTTCAAATATTTTTAATGTTTTGGCGGCTTCTTATAAACGTATGGATGATTATCGAGAATCTCAAAAAAAAAAAATCAAGAAGCTTTTGATATGGGTGAGCTTAAAACGGGTAGAGGCTTGCATCAAGAAGTTGATATTTCTAGAGCTTGCGATACTCGTTGGGATCTCACTTCAAATCTTTTAATTGTTTTATTCTCAAGTTTGGTACAATTATGGACATTTTTGATAATATTGTTGAAATTGCACATTCTATGGATGAAAGATCCAGGGCAACAAGATATATCAGAATTGCTCAAACTTATGAGGTTGCATTCATGTTGCATTTGATGAAAGAAGTTTTAGGAATTACTAATGATCTTAGTACATGTTTACAAAAAAAGGAGCAAGACATTGCAAATGTCATGCTACTTGTTAAAGTGGCCAAGAGAAGGCTACAAGAGTTGAGGGAAAATGAAAGATAGGATTTATTTGTTGTTGAGGTTTCTGCATTTTGTATCAAGTATAATATTGTGGTGCCTAATTTTGATGAGCCGTATGTTAATTCTGGAAGATCACGGCGTAAATCTGCTGATTATACTGTTTTTCATCATTATCATGTTGAAGTTTTTTGTAAAATAATTGATTAGCAATTGCAAGAACTCAATGATCGTTTTGATGAGGTAACAACCGAGTTGCTTTATGGAGCTGCTTGTTTGAATCCGGTAGACTCATTTTCAAGTTTTGATATCCAGAAAATAATGAGAATGGTTGAATTATATCCTGATAACTTTGATGAACTTAGCATGTGTGCACTTGAGATCAACTAGCAAATTACATTATTGATGTCCGTGATATCGATAAAAGGTTCTCTAATTTACATGGGCTCTGTGATCTTTCAAAAAGATTGGTTCAGACAAAAAAACATTCATGTTATCCTCTTGTATTTCATTTGGTGAAATTCGTTTTGCTTCTACCAGTTGCCACTGCATCCGTTGAAAGAGCTTTTTCAGGAATGAAATTTATTAAGAATGAGTTGCGAAGTCGAATGAATGATGACTTCTTGAGCGGTTGCATGGTTCCTTTTATGGAGAAGGATGTGTTTCAGGATGTTTCAACAGATGCTATTATTTTGTCTTTTCAAGCAATGAAACCTCGTCGAATAGTATTGTAAACGTGCTTGAGAAGTATTAGCACTGACCTCTTTTTGGAGTTTGTAGTTAGCACTCTAGTCCTAGAGTGAGACATTACGAAGTGCTAATTTTTTTTGTTCTAGTTAGCTCCATTTTTTGCTTTACTTAGCATCCTAGTTCTAGATTGACATATTGTAAAGGGCTAACTTTTTGTTTCACTGTAATCACTCATGTTAGTTTCAGATTTCTTGTAACGAAACTAACTTTTTGTATCTATAAACTATATACTACTACTTCCTTGAAATTTTATTTTGTTGGCTTATTTACACGTTTATACTTTTATTTTTTACGAAAATCCTGGGTCCGCCACTGCTCTCGATGAGGCGTATACATTGAACAATCATGTCTTTATACCCCTGGCAAGGTATATTGGGTCCTCTCGATGGGGCTTATACATCGCACTCCATGTTTAACTCACGTGATTTATGCAGGTTAATAGTAGCTCACACAGTCAGACTCTTAATGCATTTACCATGTTTTCAGCATTTATATCAGTTTATAGTTCAATATGTTATCTTCATGATTAGCACTTGGTCATTGCATTTAGCTCAATTTTTCAGTTATATTTCAATATTTATATTCTGTTCAGATTATTGCATTGCTCACTTATGGTTTGTTCAACTTAATATCTACATCATGCATGCTCAGTACATTCCAAGTACTAACACATACTCTGCGCTACATCCTTTCATGATGTAGGTTAAGATACTCAGCTTCCAGATCACCCTTAGATCGATTCTCAGTCCGTATTCAGTAGCTTCAGTTGTGAGTCCTCATAATCCGAGGACAATAGATATGCTTCATTTTAGTCTTTACTTTTAGTTTTCAGTTTTGTTAGAGTTAGCTTGGGGCATGTCCCAGCAACTCAACTTACATAGTAGTAGATTTAGCTTGAGTTGTTAAGTGATTGTTTCAGTTATTACTAAACTCTTAGTATGTTTTACATATTCAGATTGGTTGAGTTTTTCCCCACTTTAAGTTATCCATTTTTTTAGCTTCCGCATAGTACATGTTTTATTCAATAACTTTTATAGTATGCTTATGATATGCCAGACACAAGATTAACTTGGGGTCACTTGTGATCCTAGATCCCGTGTTACGTCAAGGGGATAGCCTCGGGGCGTGACAAATATGATGTTGTAGTACCCTCGTCAAGTTGTGAATGTCTTAAGTTGAATGATTATATAGATCATATGTATCAGTTAAAGTTGAGGTTGATGCAATTCTGAGTGGATTAGATGACTCATATGACCAAGCTCATAGGAAAATCATATTAAAAAGTGCAACTTCATTCATAAATCAAGCTTATGTTATGATAAGTGTTGGGTATATAGCAAGAGTTAATGGGAAATGGAGGGAAGATGGAAAGAGAAAAACTTGAAAAGTTCTCTTATGTCTTAGTAAAAATACATTTCTCCCTCATTGGTGGTGGAAAGAAAAATAGAAGTGTTGAAATAGAGAAACACTTCTATTAGTTGTTAAAAGGGTTGGAAAGAGGGACTCTCCTCGCGTCGTCGTCGCTCGCTCAACTCGGCTTTGGCTTTGGAAAATGATCGATCGAGAGATTCTTTTTGGACAAAGTTTGTTTTAATTACTTAGTTAATTATTTATTTAATTAAATTAAATTAAAAGGCCAAAACATTTCAATTATTTGGTTAATTAACCGAAACGTTTTGACCCGACTCGGATCCGCGCGACCTGTTTTATTTAAAACACTTTCCCGTTTTAATTTGAATTTCCCGTCGTTGGAGATGACTATTCTGAAAGGTTGTAACTTTTCAAGAACAACCATGACCGTTTGAAAGGTTGCAAACTTTCATGAATGGTCGTGTGGTTTCTGAAAGGTTGCAACCTTTCGAAACCAGTGCTTCGTGGCTATAAATATATACTAGTGATTCTTCATACTTTTTACTTACGAAAAATTCTGGTTTCCTCTTCTTCTTCTGCACAAATTTTATTCATGTTCTTTACTGACGTTGAGTGGCTCGCTGACATCAGAGTTTTGAGTATCAATACAATGGTGATTGAGATCATTCTATCTTGGGAGGACATATTCCTTGTTAGTTTATATCTTGAGAGTGTGGCCTACGAGACTTATGTCGATTTACAAAAATGACTTCAGAGGTTTGAGATTTTAACCTTGTTTAGATCATGGAAATATTTTTTTTTAAAAAATTAACAAGTTACATGCTCATGAATCAAGTTGGAGTCAAAAGTTCAAAATCATCCAATTCCTTGGGTATAATTTAGAAGTGCTTGACAGTCCACACAGAGGAGAAAAGCTGATTGGGCTGGGTAAGAATATTTCAGTGGGCTTACGTCCAATAGAGAGGAGAAATGGATTGGGCTTTGATGCTTTCAGGATCAGATAGTCAATCCTAATAAATGTGAAAATGTTTCATTATTTTTCTTAGTGGCTTTTTTTTGTTGTTGAAAAACTACGTAATTAGACATACTTTACTACAATATATATTATAATTACTTATACTTTTAAAATATCACGTATCTTACCACTAATTAAGAGCTTTCTACGTATCCTACACTAAGATACATGCATTTTTGCTACCAGATACACAAAAATAGAGAGAGAGGCGAGTGAGATTCGTATGTATCACAGATGCATGTGAATCACACTAGATACATGTATCTGTATGTACATGGGAAGTGGAGAGAGAGATGGAAGAGAGGCGAGCTAGATTTGCTATGTATTCCAGATATGTGAATCCACTTGAATACAATATATCTGGACTAAATTACACCTAAATTTTATCTCATATATTCGAGATACATGTATCTGAAGGCACCAAATCTGGTAAGATGTGTAATATTGCAAACTAGAGTGTATCTAAGTAATTAGCTCCACCTAAACTAGTGGATTTATGTAAGTTATTCTTTTTTGGAAAAATTACTGAAATACACGTCTTATGTTTCTCTTATTTCTAATATTCCCTTCTATTTCTAAAAACCTCTAAAATCCCTTATTTCTCTCTTAATTCTAAATTATTTTATAATGTATCTGAGCTAGTTTTTAATGTATCTGAGCTAGTTTTTAGTGTATCCAAGCCAGTTTTTAATGTATCCGAGCTACATATTATGTATCCGGTTTATTTTATAATGTATCCGAGATACATATTATGTATCCGGTTTGTTTTACTTTTTTAGGGATTAATGTAATTACAAACTAAATAGGGATAGATTGTAATTTCATATTAAAACTGTGTGATTCCTAAAATTTATACTTTTTAATATGTAATATGTCCAATTTTATAACAAGTGATATTTCTTGAATGACCGACTTGGTATGAAATTTAAAGAATTAAGAAAAAAATTAAATTTTGTGATTTAAAATAAAAAAAATATGTCAAATATATTAAAATGTCTTTTAGGAGTTGTTTGGTGTGAGATATAATGAATAATAGTTTCGAGATAAAATGCATAATTATTTTATTTTGTGTTTGGTTGGACTGTTGGAGTTATTAGATAGTTCTTGAATTATTTATCCGATATGATAAGTTATTCCATATATCCAGAATAATTATCTCGGAACAGTAATAATTATTCTTGTGGTCTTAAACACGTCATGTGAAGTGATCATCTTTTTAAAACGGACTAAAAAGAAATAGATCAAACAAATCGAAATGGAAAGATCATTTTGTTATCTTTTTATTTAGGTTCAATATAAAAAGATGTCTTACCTATTTAAGAATATATATTGTAATCATCTTCTTCCAAATTTATCCCCATATATATGAGTGAAAATTCTTATGTAACCAAGAAATTATATGGAATATGTACGTTTTAATTTGTTTATTTTATTTTAACTTGACATAGAGCTTGAGAATAATAATTTTTTAATTTTATGATCATAAATTAAAGATATGTTAAATATATCAAAATATGCTTTAATTTTGTGATTTTAAATTGATCATGTGGAAAATTGAAATTAAAAAATTATCAAAAAAGAAAAAAAACATTCTTTTTTAAAAAAGATAGAACAAACAAGTTGAACTCGATGGCTACCACAAAACTCTCATACATTACCATAGATAACATGTCTTACTTTCTAGATCAGACATACATGTAGCTATATTTTAGGGGGACCTAATGGCTAATGGTATAAAATATTTCTTACATAATCAACTGCTTAAACATATATAACTTAAAAGTTCAAAAAAAGGACACACCCTGACAAGAAGATAACACTAGCTAGCTTAATTTGTGATAATTAAGTAGGTTTAGTAACAGGGTATTTTTGAGCATTTTTGACAATCTTAGTAAGTGCTGCTTGACCTAAATCAAGTCCACAAACATCAGCTAGCTGAACCAAATAGAGTAAAACATCAGAAAGTTCTTCTTCCAAATGCTCCTTATCATCTGATGTCCAGTTAGGTAAACCCCTTGCAACTTCACCCTTCCACTGAAATATCTCTGATAGCTCTCCCACTTCTCCAACCTGTTCAACAATTTTTTTAAGAAAACAAATGACTAAGGTATACTGTTGATGGGTGTGCGAACAAAATCACATATTGTTTATATTCTATTTGGTCTAAAACAGACAATATCTTAAATGTTTGGCCTAAAACGAATAATATCATACCACATGTTACGAAAGAATATGCTTACATTGTTTTACTTCAACAAGTACATATATATGTACTCTATTTTTCAATCTAGAGTGAATTTTGTGGGTTCAAATAATGTTTTTTGCTCAAACTATATATACGTAAACTAAAGCAGATTAAGCCATATTATATTTACGCGGTCAATCAAACATAGTATTTAGACGATGAACATAAATATATATATGTGAAAAATCACTAAAAATGTCAACAAATATACTTTCTCTGTTTCAATTTATTTGTCTAGTTTTAACTTGATACGAAATTTAAGAAAATATAAAAAACTTTTGATTCTTTTGGTCTTAAACTAAAAATACGTAGAACATACCAAAATATCCTTTAATCTTGTGGTTTTAAGCATGTCACGTGAAAAGTTGAAATTAATGAATTACAAAAAAATCAAAAAGACATTTTTTGAAACAGACTAAAAAGAAACATGCAACAGATGTTTATGTATATAGGCAAAAGAATTTAAAAAAAATATGTATTTATAATAAGATCACACTCGTTTTGAACGATAAATAAGGTGGCTTACCAAAGCTAGGAGAAGGTTTCTAGGACTGTGATACTGATCCCAACCTCTAACTCTAGAAAATTCAACAAGCCTCTCTCTAAGCTCCTGAAGAGAGACATCCTTCATCACTTTTCTACCATATTGATCATGAGAATTATTATTATTATTATTATTCTCCATTATATTTCTTCTCTCTTAATAAGTTATAAGTATCACTCTGGCTACTTACCTCACTATTTATAGAAAAACATCTATTGGTAATTTGGTACCTTTAATTTTTCTTCAAATTGGTGCTGGGGTTATAAAAGTCAGAAGATGGCAATTGAAGCTGAGTTTGTTGCCATCATATGTTAAAACTACTATTATTAGTTAGTGGAGGGGCCTTCTTTCTATACAGTTTTCACGTGAGCATGTTTCTATGTTCTTTCTATGACTTGATATCACTCACTCTCTATATGTATCTTATATGTATTTGTAAAAGCGGATTCAAAATTTAAATTTTATGAGGTTTATATTATAGGATAATGTTTTCAATTAAATTGTTATAAATTTAATATACATATTTAGTAAAAGAAATAATTAAAAGATAATGATCAAAAATATATTTGAACGTTTTCCTCTGTTGCATTTATGTGGCATTATTCAGATGTCGAGAGTTGAATGGCTTAATTTTGAAATAAAATTTATATATTTGAAAACTAAGTAAAAAGTATTATAAGTCACAAGAATTGATAATTTAAGATATTTAAAAAATATATTAAAAAGTTGTGGTTAAAGAAAGACTTATTTAAATCTTGTGATTCGAAAGGTTTCACAAAAATTGAGATGATGAGAGTATTATCTTTTTTGTGAGTTTCACACTCTAACTATTAGTTATTTCATTTTCCTATTTGAATTATCATAATTTATATATTAAAATACATATAATTCAGTAGATCGTGATAATTCAGATAAAAATGGAAAAAGAATTATAGTTGACTAACTAGGTTAAAGGTGTAGGTGAACGTGTGATACAATAATTCAGGTAAAGAAAAAGGAGATGGAAAAATCTTTGTGGCCAGAAAATTTGGTCAAAATGATATTTTATCTATGTTATTTTACCTTTTAAAATATTTTTACCCTTTTAACTTTAATACCTTTAAATTTTTATTTTTATTTTATAGTTTTTTTAATTTTCTAGTCAAATTCTGGCCAAATTTTCTAGCCATTTAGCACTTCCCTAAGGAAATTACCAAAAGTATAGAACTAAAATTATTGAATTCTAGAAACTCACAACTCAAAGTGGGACTTAAACTTCTCTCCTCATGCTAGCTCAATTATGCTTTAATTTTATACTCCCTCTGTCCACTTTTATTTGTCATGTTGCGCTTTTCGAAAGTCAATTTGACTAATTTTTAAAGTTAAATTAGATTACGTTAATTCGATATTTTTTTTAAAAAAAATTAGATATTCAAAAACTATACGAAAAGTACTATAAGTTGCAATTTTTGCATATCAATATGATGAAAATATACATCGTAAAATGTTGGTCAAAGTTCTTATTGCTTGACTCTAAAAAAGAAAACCATGACAATTAATTGTGGACGGAGGGAGTATCTAAATAGAACGACAAAGTGACGGATCATGACATTACGCCCTGCTCCGGCCTCATTTTTTTGCTGCGTATATAGGTTTTCCACTGGTATATTAATGGAACAATTCCTTTTTCCACGTCATACGTCTATCAAATCTCACCTATACTTGCTTTTTCTTTGTGTTAGCCAACTTGGATTTAATCTCCTTCAACCAAAGGTGGTGAATTTAATTTGGTAACTTTCTTGTTTTTTTTTTTTGTGTTGTTTTGATGTTACATGATATATTATCATCAGTTTTTTCTTTTTTTTTTTACTTTTTGATGATAGTGGAATCTAGTAGACAAACACATATGACATAACTAACTCAAAGCAAGAACCCCATATGTCCTACTTGAATCGTAAATTTCGGATTATACGGCTTTGATATGGACAATATTAATTATTTACTCAAATTAAATCCACATAAGGCTCAAGCTGAAAGATCGATTTAACTTATATATACCGTTATCAACGGTGCAAAATAAATTTTAGTTACAAGTCGTAGTTGATTTGATAGTAACTTTTTTTTTTCTTTTGAAACATTTTGCTTTTTAAACTAGCTAGCTACACTAGATTGAGAATCTATCTTATGCTTCAAATTTGTTACGGCATTTGTTTCTTTTACTTGGGTTATCTACGTATCTTTACTGTATTTGTAGTTGGCAGGGTTGTCTTAACCACTAGGCCACTAAAGCCATCGCTTGGGGCCCCATATTTTTTGGGGCCCCAATTTTATATTTTTTAAAAGTACTTATACATATTACTAAAAAAAATTAATATTGAAAGAAAATGTGTAAGAGGTTTTATAGTTTTTCTTGAAAAATTGTTATTGTTGATATTCTTAGTTCATAAGTATATGTAGATTGTTTTAATTATTATTGAAATTTATTAAATTTTAATATGTCAACTAGAAAACCTGATTTCGATTTTGCAAAAAGAGAGAACTTGAAAAATTAAATAAATCTTAAAAAAGAGCCCTTGATAGATTTTTAACAAATAATAAAAAAATTTGAATCAAAAAATGTTGGAGGATGTTCTTCAAATGAACAAGTCACCAATAGAATTGAGTTAGATGATAATAATATCCAAGAAGAAACTCTAGAAGAAGTTGGTGAAAATGTGACATTGTTCCCGATATCAATAACTCCTAAATAATTAGAATAGTTGCATCCCTAAAAATATATATGATCAAAGTCAATGGACTAATGTAGATACAAAATTGAGAGATCTAATAGTCGAAAAGGGACCATTTAGAATGACTGATATAAATTTTCCACAAGATAAATATGTAAGACATTTTTCTACAACACACTATATTCAAAAATTCGTAAACGGGGAAAAGCATGCATGAAAGAAAATGATTAATATACTCTAAAGATTTGGATAAATTTTTTGTTTTTGTTGTAAATTATTTAGCACAACTTTTATTATTTGTAATAGTAAACTAGCTAGTGAAGGTAGTAATGAGTGGAGAAATCTTAGTGTTAGCTCAAAGTCCATGAAGTAAAGAATGAACATATTATTAAAAATATGAGCTCGTGTATTGATTTATAAATGAGATTGCATTAAAAAACAATTGATAAAGTTGTGCAAGAACAAATTGATAGAGATAAAGTGCAATGGGAAAATGTATTGTCAAGAATTATTGACGTTATCAAACTCTAGGAAAAAATAATTTAGCATTTAGGGGAACAAATGGAAAGATCTATCAAGAAAGTAACAGTAATTTTTAAAGCCTAATTGAAATAGTAATAAATTTGATCCATCTAAGCAAGAACAAATCTTAATATAATATAAAGGAGAAACATAGACAAGGTGATGTGGCACCTCTCTATGATCTCCATATGTATTTATCTTTTTTCTCATTTTTTTGGCCTTTCTTTTTATTTAAATTAATTATTTTACTGTAAAAGTCAATTATTTAATTTATTACAATAAATATTATATTAATGGAAAAACATTTACAACAAAGACTCTTCACATGCCAACTTACAAGGAGTAATTATTCATAATTCATACCTCTCTAATTTCTATTATTAATAAAAAAAAATTAATTTTTTGTCCTTCTTCTAATTACAATTACGATTATTTTTTTAAATATTTTATCTTTATTATTTAATTTATATAAAAGGTTGTATTACTTAATTAATTACAAAAATCTATATATATAATAAAGGTCTCTATAAACAAGGTGATGTGGCACCTCTCAATGACATAGAAAGCTATTTATCTTTTTTCTTCCATTTTTGAGTTTTTCCATTCATTTTTTTCATTAAAAAATTTAAAAAATCAATCATATTCATTACATATAATTATATCACACGAAAGTTACAAAAAAACCTCTACCTATTTGAATTCTCTAATTAAATAATATGTCTCCTCAACTTCCTTCTACTTAATTCTCATCTATAAATAACAATCATCTATGGTGTTGTTGCATGTCCATTTCTATTTTCTCCAACTTCATATTGTTAATATATTTTTTTTGTTTTTCAGGTTTTATAAAGATTATAGATATATTTTTTAGAATTTCTTCTTGTGTTACAATTGCCAAGCAAAAGTTTATCAAGATGAAGAAGAAAGTTTGAAGGCGGTGTAAGATTCGTCAAAAGAGATTCAAAAATTATTCGCTACAAGTCATCAAAATGAAGAAGAAAGTTTAATGACGGTGGGAGATTCATCAAGAGTTCGAAAGAGTAAAATTTGAAAAAGTAGAAGTTTCAATAATTTACAAATATATAGATGCACTTATTGTTGCTTATATAATTTTTCAATTAATTATTTATCCATCAAGATATGTACCCTTCAAGAATAAGATTATATTATAAAGCACACTTTTTGTATCAAGGGCAACATGATCTTCCATGGATTATTTTGTTGCTTAAAGAAAACTTTTGATATTTTCATTATATAAACTTTTGTCTTTTGCATCTACAATTCATACTCCCTCTGTCCACTTTTATTTGTCATGTTGCGCTTTTCGAAAGTCAATTTGACTAATTTTTAAAGTTAAATTAGATTACGTTAATTCGATATTTTTTAAAAAAAAAATAGATATTCAAAAGCTATACGAAAAGTACTATAAGTTGCAATTTTTTGCATATCAATATGATGAAAATATACATCGTAAAATGTTGGTCAAAGTTCTTATTGTTTGACTCTAAAAAAGGAAACCATGACAATTAATTGTGGACGGAGGGAGTATTTTATATCGATATATATATATATATATTATGTATATAACATGTTAATATGACATAATTTCTCAATCAAGATTCTATCATCTTTTGTTTAGCTTTATCCGCTTTTTTTCACTCTAATTTAGATGATATAACACATTTTTTTTCGTTTGTGGATTTTGAATTGACTAAAAAGGAGATGAGTTCCCCTCCATTAAGTTTTTGTTTCTTATTTGTTAACACTTGTGTAAAATTAGTCGATATATATTATTGTTGGATTCAAATTTCACAAAACATTTAATTCTTCTAATTTAATGAAATTTTTCAGAATGAATCAAGTTTGTTCTGCCAATATCTAATTACAATGAACATATTTTCTTAAGTTTTAGAGAAAAT